TTAGACTCATCAGCAGTAAGTTCTCAGGATAAAACTAAAACCAAACAAAAAAAAAAAGACGCCGTTCCCCTACCTCCCCGGCCCCTTTCTCTACCACATGACTACCGAGTTAGATGGAGCAGCAGCAATAACTGAGTCCATTTCTAACAGAGCCCTTTCCCACAGAGAAACAATTTCACATGGTGCACAGTATGTAACTTGCTTATGAAAACCCATTGCCCCTGGTGAGAATGTGCAAGAATACAATACTTGAATTTCATGTTTCAGAGACAAAGAGATCTTTCTAGGGAAAATAATATTTGACACACATGTTGAGACAGGAGGGATAATAGGACCCAGTCATTTGAATATAAAAAGTTATGAAGTCAAGGATCTTAACTGGTAATTTATTTATATGTGTGTTGGCTATTAGCAAATTATCAGCTAAATTTGGTTAACTGTACCTAGAGTCTATTTTTCTCAGTCTTTTGTTGAATCATACAATAACTAGGTCTCTGTGGTGTATTTTTCTTTACCAGTAGTACTCTTCCCCAACCCCCTTTCCATCAATCCAGACCTTATCTATATTTCCATTGCAAGATGAGTCATCTTCTTCAACGAATCTTCCCCAGTCATTCACCCTACACTAACTTCTTGCTCTTCTCAATCCTGCTGGCCTCGAAATGCTATTGAGTGCTGTGGGATTGTGGAAGGATGTTGTCCAATGAGGGTAAGGACCTGAGTGTCAGTCCTCATTCTGTTACTGACTGTGTGTCCTTCTGCAAATTACTTTTCCTCTACCTACCTGTCCATCCATCTATTCTTATATCTCCCGCAAACAGGTATTGTGAATCCTAACCTCTATGTGTGTGTTGTAATTCCATTTAGGAATGGATGCCTTGGTGATGCTAATGAGGCAGGCTTAGTGTTGGCTGTGTGTGTTATGACAACCTCCTTTGTGATAGCCATGAAATTCCATGACTGGGCAGAGCAGAGGAGATTGATGCCGAGTCACATGGAGAGCTCATAGGAAGCAAGAAACAGGCTGAAGAGCCAACACGTTGGAAAAAGTCCGTCCCTAGAACCTGCACCCTAACACTCAGACTTGTGGCACGCTACACTGAGAAAATAAATTTCTGTTTGTTAAAGTCAGTCATTGTGATATTTCTGTTACAGCAGCACTAGACAACTAGGACACATCCACCACAAAAGCTTAAAATGAGACTTTTATTGAATTTTATGATATATGATAATGCTATGGAAAACACTAAATTAATATACAAATACGACATGATTATATATGTTTATACCATTTTTTGAGCCATGTTTATTTTTAAGGTTTGGTGTTACTATTATTTTCTGAGCAGAGGCATTAACGATTAAAGAAGGCACTGTCTTCTTTTCTTTGGTGCAGCGTTCACACACTGCCACGAGCATAATGGAGCCCATCGAAGTGCTATTGTCTACCTTGTGTTTTCAAATGCGCTCTCCATAATGTGTGTTTTCTTCAGCTATCTGAGGGGAATGAAACTTTTGGTCCTCTCATGGTCTTACACCTGGTCTACTCTTAAGTGTGTAAACCCCAAAACGGATGATAACCATGAAAGGCAATAATGGAAAAGAAGTGTACTTATGAAGCATGGTCAGTACCTGTAGGTATACTATGTATTTATATAAATAGAGACTTTGTGATATGCCCCTATATACTTCTTAATCTCTCTTTTCATAGGCTTTTGGGAATTGTCCTTTAAGCACTGTTTGTAGCACAATAATCCCCTCACTCACAACCTAAAGACCTCCCATGGGGCTGAGTGTTAGGTATTCAAATGCTAACTAGAGGGTGGCCAGTTCAAATCCACCAGTTGCTCCCTGGAAGCAAGATGAATCTGTGTCTTCTGGTAAAGATGACTTGCCTTGGAAACACTGTATAGGGCATTTGAGTTGAAATCCACTTGATGGTTGTGGGGTTTTCTTGGTTTGATGCCCAGTAGCCTCGCATGGCTCTACGTGGAAACAACTCTAAGGCATAGGTTTCATCAGGTGTGGAATTTCCCCAGAATAGCCAAGAAAGCCTTGATAGGGTTTTTTTTAATTAAAAAACATTTTTCCCCCTGAAATTGAGTTTCCTCATATTTGAAATTGATATGATATCTCGTCTCTTCTTTTGGTGCCCTGTAAAGACTGATCCTTGATACATGTTTTCTTGAGACTCTATTGCATACAAATGATTTCATATTTTTCACAGAGAACAATCTACTTTCAGCTCTAATAAGCCAGATCCTTGGCTTGTAGCTTAAGTGAAGTTCACCAAGTTCGTGGAAGAATGCCATTTTGCCCACAGGAGTTTTGCATTCCCAGCCCCAGCATGATGACAAGCTCAAAGTGTGCATGCTGCTCTGTGGAACTGAGTTGGTTTAGACTCATGGAAGGCCCCTAGGACAGAGTTGAGCATCCTGTAGGCTGGTTTTCTGGGCTGCACTCTTGACAGAAGCAGTTTGCCAGGTCTTTCTTCTTTGGAACTGCTGGATGAGTTCTAACCACCGACCTTTCAGTTAGCAGCCAAACGGATGTATATATGTGTTTATTTGTGATCTCTCTGCATGTTTTTATTCAGATTTTTTTCTTAAAAGCCCCCCTCCCCTTGCTACTTTATATTTTGAAAAATTCCAAATGCCTTTGAAAAGAAAAACTGTCTTTTGATCATGCCCTTCTGAGCTCAGGGATCTTTGGATGATCCGCAGAGATTGTTTCATAACGGGGAGCTGAGTCTTCCCATAAGGAGCCCGGGGGCACTGTGGGGGGTGTGTAGCATTGGAGGCATTAACTCACAGGTTTCTCCGTGGGAGAAAGAGGAAGCTGTCTGCTCCTGTAAAGATTTGCACTCTTGGAAACCCTACGTAGGGTTGCTTTGAGTTCGGATCAACTTGAGAGCAGTGGGTTTGTGTTTGGGGTATCTTTCCAGCAAGCACGAGTCTTTGACCTAACAGTGGATGCCACCTGATCATCTGGTGATGGACGTCCCATAGGGCGTGGGGGGATTTCAGAGGAGCTGGGAGGAATTGAGATTGGGAAGTATATGTATGCAGACATAGAAAAGACCACAGGAGGCAAAGACCAAAGTGATGCTAGCTGCAAGAATGAGGCCTTGTGCTAAGACATGCTCCAGGGATAAAGATTCTTCAAACTTCTTGCTCTGTGTTACAGACAAAAAAGTTCAATTGGCCATGTTAATAGAAACACAGCTTTACTTTTAAGCATTATTTTTATTTAATGAAATAAGCCTTATGCTTGAAGAGGTTTCCCCTTTATTTCTTTGACTAGGCATTGCAATGTAATCAGAAGAGGCATGCCCACTTTTGTCGAACTTCTTTCTTTTGAAAATTTCTTTTTCCTAAAAACAAAACGGAAAAAAAAATCACACCCACCTTTCCACTGTATTTCCAAAGCCTGACGATTCTTCTATAAATTGGGAGCAATAACAACAACCATAAAGTTTGATCTTCTTTTCACAGAGTAATAGCTCTCTAGGTAGACCAGTAAGAAAACAGAGGATTAGAAATTGAGAAATAGAACAGTCACCTTAAACCCAATCATCCAAAATTGTATTCACCTTTTGATTTATCCCACACCAATCCTGGGAGCTTTGGAATGTGTGGAGGAAAGCCTGCGGATGCTGCAGTGTCCCAGAGCAGCGCTGGCCATGGAAGCAAGCGGAGTCGGGCGCTCGAGGCTGATCCTAAAATGCAGACCTAGGAAGGAGTGGGAAAACTTGTCACGTTGAGCGTGTGTGTTTTAAAACAGGATTATTGCCTTGTGACTTGCTATGGAGCCCGAGTGGCTTATGGCTATTCATTGGACACTAACTGAAATGTTGGCAGTTCAAAACTACCAGCCGATTTGCAGGAGAAAGATGAGGCTTTCTACTCTTGTAAAGAATTACAGTCTCAGAAATCCCGAGGGGCAGTTCTTTCCTGCGCGGTAGGATCGCCATGGGGTCTTAATAGACTAAACGGTAGTGAGTGAGTGTGCTTTTTTAAATTTAATATAGTATGGGCATCATTCCATGTAGTTGCAAGCCTCCCCTAAAGTAGCTTTTGATAGCTGAGCTAAATATTCTGCTATTTGTGTTGTTATTATTTATTTATTTTCCCCAAACCATTTTAAGATGAGTTACTACCGATAATATATTATTCCATAGTTCAGTCACATCGAGCAGGATTGTACAATGGCTACAGTGTTGCACAATCAGTCTTAAAACGTATCTTCCTTCGTGAACTTTTTGAAAACCAGCTCCCTTTTACCCCAACCCCCACCCACACTGTCTTCTACTCGCTGTCTCTGTATGTTCATCAATCCTGGCTTTCATATACTGAAAAACAGAACAACACAGAGAAAAAGTTCAAGAGGGTCATTCCTAAGGACAAAATATATCTGAGATAAATTCCAACATGAACAGACAACAGAAAATGTTGAAAACCAGATCAGGCCCAACATTGCATCGTATGGGGAATCAGCTGACAAGGTTTTAAAAACTCAATTTATTTAAATGATTTGTACTTTTTGAGAATCATAAGCAATGCACAGGTGAAAAATTCCTGTAAATAAATCACTATTCATAATAATGATTATCTCCCTAGGAGAAATTTTTAGGCATGGAATCACAGGATCAATATATATAGAGAGACACACACATATATTTTGGATACATTTTACCCAACCTGACTGTGATTCCAAAAGGCTACTGCCTATTTATCATCTCACCAGCTTTGTGTGGGAGTGCCTGCCTCCCCCCACATTTGGCCAGGCACAAATTCCCTCTCTGTAAATATCAGGAGCTTGCTTTCATGACAACATGCATGCACACATACATGTCTGTATATATGTGAATGATGGTCTGTATAAGCACAGACATTATTATTTAAAGAGAGCAATTTTATCTTATGAAGCTGTTATGTAAATGTGTCTTGAACCGTAACAAAGTGATGTGAATGCTCCTGATTGTCCTTGTCTTGGCTTCTCAGGTGCCTGCTTGAATATCACCCACAGCCAATGTCAGATGCTGCCCTACCGCACCACACTGACACCTTTCTTACCAGCCACCAGAAACACGGAAGTGGAGAAGTTCCTCAAGTTCATCACCTACCTCCACCGCCTCAGTTGCTATCAACATATCATGCTTTTTGGCTGCAGCCTGGTGTTCCCGGAGTGCGTCAGTGATGGTGATGAGAGGTATTTTGAGCTCACATCAGTCAGGGATAAGAGTCCGGTGTAGCAGACAGGAGAGGAACAGAATGGCCCCACGCTATATTATCTTTCTTTATTTGTTCTCCTAACCGAGAAAAACACTCCACATCCTTCACAGCTACTCGAGTTATTTCAAGCAGAGAACATAAAGAAATTGGCGATTTTTTGAAAACCCTGAGTGGTTTTATTTGTGGGAAAACATGATTCCGTAAGTGAGGTTGGTGTGATCAGCTGGGATCCTCGGTAGCTGTCTTGGCAATAAATAGCCAAGCAAAAGAAGCCAGCACACTCAAAGGGTTGATTGCGAAGCGTTTAAAGAAGAGCCTATTTTGGGAGGCGTGGGGGAGGTTACGAGCAATAACTTCATGGAGGCACCAGGGAGCAGCAGTAGGGGATGCAATTCCACTCAAGACTTGAGGGGGACAAGGATGAATGGTATCTGGAGAGAGTTGTAGCTTTGGAGGGAGGTCTTCCAGCAGGTCCTGCATGCACTGTCAACCCAGCTGTCCTGCAGGGAAATCAGGAATAAATAACTAGGCGGCTCTCACACTCCTCTTACCCTCTTAGTGCCTCTCTTCAATGGAAGTGGCCCACAGCCAGAAGACAAGGGAGTACAATAGTAGTAGTCCTTCCTGGTCCACCCTCGGACCCAGAGCAGGCAAGAAGGATAAGAGTACATATGGCCAATCCAGTACAACACCAAATAGGTTTAAAGATAATTCTCGAGAAGAGTCATCCATGAAAAGTGTGTCTTGGTATAGCTGAGATGGCCAGACTCCTTTTTTCTCAGTCATTTTAATGACTACATTTAAATACATATTCACATACACAAAAAGACAACAACAGCAAATTCCCCCAAACCATTGGCCATCCAGTTGCCTTTGACTCCTGGTGACCTACATGTGTCAGAGGAGTCCTGTGCTCTGCGGGGGCTCCAAGGGCCGCCTTTCAGGCAGAGACGTCCAGGCCTTGCTTCTGAGGTTTCTGGTTGGACTGCCAAGTGCTTCCCTGTACTGCCCAGGGATGCCTACTCATGATTTTCTGGAATCAAATAATTTCTGGAATAGTTATGTTCTGAATAAATTGCTTTAAGGTTACCTGTCATGTGTACTGATTTTATCGGTGTGTAAAATAGACTTTAAATATATACATATTTTTAATTTGCTGCCATAGAGTCCATGCTGACTCATAGCGACAGCTCTCATGTTTTTCTTAGACCATACTGTTTAAGGAAGTAGGAAGCCCAGTCTTTCTCCTGTAGGCTGCTGGTGGTCTTGAACTGCCAACCATGCGGGTCTGAGCCCAGCGAGGAACTACTACACTACCAGGGCCCCTTATGCTTGACAGAGGGCACTTATTATTTTCACTGGAGACTGCCTCATTGCCACTGCTTTCAGGTAGAAGAAACAAACTAATTGCCAGTGAGTTAGTTTCAACTCAGAGTGCATCTGTGGGCTTCCAAGACTGTAACTCTTTATTGGCGTAGAAAGCCTCCTCTTTCGCCCTCAGAGCATCTGGTGGTTTTAAAATGACCTTGTGGTGAAAAACCCAATGCATAACCAGTACCCGCAGGGCTCCGAGTATAGACACAGTGGGGTCTAAATTGTAGAGCAAGGTAAAGAAATATCAGGTGACCGGAAAACACTTGAACGGAGAGGATGTTTTCAGAGAAGAAAAAGACGTCCTATTCACTGTCGATGGAAGTAGCGACATCCTTTAAGCACCCAGAAGTGTGGCACTAGGGTGCAGTGCTTTGTAATGTCTAAAATTGCCATCGCAGCGAACAGGAACTGAGTAGCTTAAGAGAAGCCCTGGTTGATGAGGCACTGGGTGGCTAATCACAATGTCAGCAGTTGAAAACCACTAGAAAGAGGGAGCTTTATGCTCCCCTGCAGATTTCCAGCCTCCAAGGAAACCCGACATCGGGTTGTTCTGAGTGGGAATGGACTGGAAAACAGCAGGGCTCTGAGGGTGGGCCGGGGAACTCTGGTGGTTCCGTGGGTTACACATGGGCTGCTAACTGCAAGGTCAGCAGTTGGAAGTCACCAGTCCAGTGGGACAAAAATGAGAGTGACTGTTCTGGTATAGAGGCAC